GGGGGGGGGGGGGGATCGAAAGGGCGATTGCACGGACAGATAGAGAGTAAGAGAAGTGGATAAAGGGGAAACTACCCTCTGTATAGATGGTGCAAGAGCGAGAGAGACGGATGCTTCTGGTTTAACGGTGGGGTTATCCGGGCTTCGGTATTTCATTATCCTATCCGAGTACCACAGAGCTGCAGAACCCTTCGAGAGATTGAGAACCGTTAAGTCAATGAGATAAGTTTACGCTGCCATATTGATTCAATGCAACCCCGTTGGAGCCCCACCAGCATCAACCCCTCCCAGTTGCGTCCGCCCGGGCCCACAATTCATCCCACTGTTCTCTCACTCGAGGGGGGGAAGTGAATATCCCCCCCCCCACCTCCGCTCCCTCTCCAGTTGCCCCTTTCTCTCTTCCCCTCCCTACCCCTTCCCTTCTTCACGGGAGGAGAGACTTAACAACAAACGTCTCTCTTCACATGGCTGGGTACCCCTATAAAATGACTACCCTGACTCACGTTATATCTCTATCTAGCAATTCCTATTCCCCATTCGTTACGTGCATACGCACACGTATCACGTCTAAGCATGGATTGGTGTAAGCAAGACCAAAAAGTTCAGCAGGAAAACGGCGTTCAGTAAAATTGATTCTGTGCGCGTACGTACACATATAGGAGATACGATAAACTCCCATTTTCTATATGGAGCAAATTCTTCATAATATTTACTCTATATATATTTCGTAAAATTATGTAATATAACCCAGTTAGTTTTTTTTTTTTGTAATCGTCGCGAAGAGCTCCCTGGTTCTCCAGCATCCCTCCTTCCTGAAGCTTAACGATTGCGTGTGTCGTCGTGTGTACTACGCGGCTCGATGTCTTGGGTACGACAGGCTATGGCAGCGGCCTTCGCTGAAACTCAAAGGAAACTTAGCAGAGATGATCTTGTTTACGTACCGGGTATCGATTTACCGAGATCGAGATACTCTCGAACCGAGGGACTGAGGAATCCTGGAGGCACAACCGGCGCCTCGTTCGTCGGATTGTTCCTCTCGTCTACGTCGTCGTAGTAATAGTCATCCTCCTCCGGGTCCAGGGGTTTCGCACGTTTCGATATCTTCGAGTTCTTGTCGGCGCAGTCTGAAACATACGATACACTTTTATGAATTATGTTTACACGAGACTCTCGTAGCTCGGCGTACCTTGAGTTAGCGTATTTCAAGTTATAATTATTTTAGGATACGCGTCTCCGCAGAAAAGACGGCTGATTGGGTTTTAAATTAATCGATTGACTTTTCTTTGGAAAGTAAAGAGAGAGGAGGGTAACTCCGGTGAAATTTCGTGGTTCCAGGGGGCGAGATCAACGTAACGCTTGACGGTTGTCTGTGCCAATGGAAGCTCGCGCGATTGTTTCCTTTATGGTAAAACGGATCCGTAATTAGTGCGCCTTTGATAGGAAAACTCGAGGTCGGGTGGGTGCATCGATGCTGCCGAACGTCGGGACGCCTACCTCGACTGACGTTTAGACGCCTCACAAAGGAAGAAGCGGCGCGCGTTCTTTCCGCCCTTAGGCGCCGACTGTGCCGTTTCATCCTGCACGTTAGAATTTTGCAGATACGGTCAACGCTTCCCTTTGAACTGCTCGGCCGATCTTACGAGAAACGAGAGGATCTGCCGTGTCTCGTAGAATTCACTGTAGGAAGCTACCAGCTCCAAGCATCCAGACTGGAGTGAATAAATAACGAAGTGGCCCCCAGGCATAGCGAGGAACACTATCTCCGTCTCTGTCGCTCTGTTTAATTTCACCCCCCGCCGCACGCCGCTCAACGAGCTCCCGTTTGCTCCCGTTTGGCATTGCCTTTGCCGGGTGGTCGTGAAATTTCATAAGGGAGAATCCGTGGGGTTATTTTTAAACTAGCAGTGCGTTTATGTGATAAATGGGTAAAAAGAGTGTTTTGTAATTGAAGGGGGGTTATAGGATGGACTAAAATTATGCTACCGCTGGTAGCGCAGGTATCACGTGTATATTCACGTGTGGGAAACGAGCATCCCCGTGGATTGTACGAAGAATTTGGTTGATGGGGGGGGGGGCGGCGAGGGGTAAATGAAAAAAAGGCCGATTTACTAATTCGTATTTATTCGCCCGTGAGCCTGATTATGCGCACCGACAATATCCCAAACCGCTCTCGTTTCTCTCCCTCCATTCCCGCTCTCTTCTCCCACGGTCTGTATATTTGCCAACAGAATATAATATTTCGTGAGGGTTTTGCGCTCTGCCGATACGCACCCTCGGCTAAATGATTTTCGAATAACGTCAAACGACCATATTGATAATCCGACATGAATGGTTAAGGTTTCAGCGCGTTATTTTAGTCAGCGGCTGTCAAATGGTCCTGACGCCTCGAACAAAGTCTGAATGTATATAAAATATATTATATCGAAAAAAAAAAAACACGACAAATTTCATTCGCCGTAAAGTGTCACGTTTGATATAATTAGGTAAAAAAATTTTTAAATGTCCAAAAAATCATGCTGAAGTAAAAGCGTATTTTCCATGTCCATATTATAGAATTTGGCACGAGGTCATGCCGTCTCGTCCCTGCGCGTAGTCCATTGTGTAATTGTCTCGTGCCCCATGGTGCCTTGTGTCATGTCGTCTACGTGGTCAGACTGCGTCCGTAGAAAAACAGCAACGGCCACGCAACAGGTAAACGCAGGACCGACGGAACCGATTTAGAGTCGCTATAGGGTGTGAAAAACAGACCGGAGGGTCCAGGTGTGTGTCGCAAGCAAATATAACGCCTACGTGTTGATACTCCAGTAAACGACCGGGTTAGAGCAGCTACGAGAACTCTTCGGGGCAACCGTGGAACTCTGGGAAAACTGATAGACAGTGGAGGAAACCAAGAAGAGAAGTATGAATATTATTTTCAAACTACTGACAGTCGAAGACGTTATTGTCGAAAGAAACACGGACTTTCTCGATGCCTATAGAATTACATATGGCGTCAAATTATTAAAATTCTCTTTAAAACTTATGGCAGTTAAGCACCGTCAACCGATCCGTCGAAGATGTCATAAGAGATTTCCGTGAGTAGCGTCGCATGATCCGCAAATGAAGACAAGACCTGGCGTAACTTCAATAATTCGGCTTGCTCGGTATAGCGGAACTGCACGAATGGTTACGGCTGTGACCAAACGTAGAAAGAGTCAGAGTCATGGCGAAGCAGTGACAGAGATAGTTGGTGGTAGTGGCGGTAGGAGCGCTGGCGTCAGTGCTGGTGCGACGACTAGGCACGTGAAAGACAGATGAGTAAGTTTTATTGACAGATCCATGGCAAAGCTTGCGTAACCTATTATGCAAGCCCAGGTAGAACCAGAGACCGAGTGATCTTTAATTCTCCATCTTCTCGTCTTCCCGTTCACGTACCGTTTGCCCTGACATCTTAACGACGGCGCCTTGTACCGTCTCATGATTCATTGGTGATCCATGAGCATCGTACCACAAATTATAAATGTAACTCGTTAGGACAGCCTTTACAGGTAAATTGCGAAAAGCGTATGATCTTTTAAATCAGACTTCAGATTTCACCCAATCTATCGTATCGTGCGCTTTCCCCCATGAACGACTATTCTGACCGATCCGTAAAGGCCGTTAATGTCTTTAAATCCCGTTACGCCGCCTGTCGTGTACCTGCAACTGTAGAATTTAATTACGATCGTTAGAGAGACCCCCTACCTCCCCCTTAACGACAAACTAAAACGCTTCTTCGCAACTCATTAAAACTCGACATGCGACGTGTTAACATTTTCTCGAAATGCAGCGTGTTTAAATCTTCTCTACGCGTAAACTCACTTCATAAATCATATAGAACACAGTTCCTGAACTTCCTTGCGTGTTTTACATATTCCTCCAAATAACATTACCCATATGCTTCAAGTTAACAAACATTCGTAACCATATTGATATGGTCAGTGCTTATTCCTATCGCCGGGAATAATTTAAAATAATTCTTGTTATTTATTGAACACGCTTAATTAGTACGAAGAAATGTAGTCTCTACACCAGTAACCATAGCAACTGGTTGTACACAAGCGATATATATTCCAATAAGAATGAAAGGACAACCACGTGTCTATCACTGTATCCAGCTGTACAGACTGGTTGATGGTGGTGACGGTACGGAACAACAGTAATCTTGGACTAACATCCCCCCCCCTCTTTCACCTTGCATTCGAACTTCCTGGTGGTGAATCGAGCTAGCGTAGTGTAATAAATGCTGCAATGCATACAAATGTCATTTTCACCTCAAGAATCTAATTCTCGAGTCTCGTCCTTCCGTCTGACACTCCTTATCTCTTTCATTCTCTCCAGCTTCCTCTGTTTCCTGATCTTCCACTTCCTAACTTTCCAGTCGTATCCTACTGCTTATACCTATCAGAGTCACCAGGACGTGCTACCGACACTGAAGTACTTTGAGATCGATATTGCCCAACAGCGTGACTGCATGTCTGCCGCGCGCTAAATTATATCATCCGATGTATCGTGGTAACGACGAAAAATAAATCAGTAAATTCCCACAGACGATTTCGAAATTACGTTCAACCTTGTTCCCCCTTCGCAGTGTCGCGTAGGGCCTCGTGCGAATTCGCCTAGATTTTCTAACAGCGTGCACTTTTCGCGCGCGAAACTTTCCTATGTGGCCGCGCACGTAACGAGCGTTATAAAACATTATAATCGTCGCCGTGGCGCAGAACGTGTAGTGCTCTGCCGTTTTATATATTTTATATGCACAGGGACGAGACGCTTTGTTCTTTGTTTCGGCTCTGCAAGGCGCACGCTTTACTTCTTCCTTTTTCAGAGAAACTGGCGTCCTGCCCTTTTTTAACTTCCTACTCGTACAGACCGCATAACACGTGCGTGCGTGTTAACGAAACTAACGGTTCTCGCAGGTCCATTTGGTCCGCGACTGTTTCCTTGTTATTACCTTGTTGTTACATAGCAGTCGAAAAAACTTTCATTCGTTTTTACTCTCGATTGACTTAAGGCCGTTCTCAAGCAAGACGCAGCTATGGAACACTCGATAACTCTGTATTTGGATGGTTCTTGAGAAAGCCACTGAATGTGATTCGTAGCTGCGGAATGTCGTTCCGATATGTCTCTACCGAAGACGAGTTGGACGCCGTCGTCGTCATGGCGATGCTTCCTTCGATGGATTTCCCGTAGGTCTTTTTCTGAATATGACTGCGTGCCTAAATTGGCTTCGTGGGGAAAGTCTTTAATTCGGTTACCTAAGCAACTATGTTCATTAGCATTCATCGCTCGAGTTGACCACCGTCGACTGGACTGATATCACACTCTGTTATGTGTGTGTGTGTATATATATAACAGCAGGTGAACACTAGTTGTTAATTACTTTCATCCCCGGCAGCAACTTCTGAATATTCTCCACTGCCTACAATGCTTATTTTGCCGTTCTCACTTTTGCCAATGACTTTTTATTTTCGTAAGTATATACTTTCGGGGCTCTTTTTTTATGCTGAAATCTACGAGAATATAATGAGAATTTCTCGAGAAAAAATTCAGGTGCGTGTTGGTCCCTCCACCTAGAATTTCTTTGCTTTAGCCCTGAGAGACACTTTCGAAATTTTTCTTATTTCTATATTCTGACCATGTAAGAGTTAACGTACATGAATTATATACGAATTATATATCTTCCCGTGTATATACGTTTTATAGAGTCTATAGTGTATTCGCAATAACGAGTTAAGTTATTACGACTCCAGATGGAATATTCTATAATGCATGGAGAGATGGTAAATTTCTTCATGAAAATAGGGCGATGGCACACGAACGGATTTCCAGCCGCAGGCTGCCATTTCGCGGTCTCTAATTATCGTATCTTCCTACTGATAATTGAAAGCTACGTGTATCCCTATCTCAGAATCCGTTTACGATGTGACCGCAAACGGAGAAATCTCGGCAACGTTAATCGTCCTGACGACGACGTCGTCGTTGTCTCTTCCTCTAGGTTACCGCGCATGTATATATCTATATACAACTAACTGGTAGCCATAACTATCAGCAAATGGTAAAGATTAATCTTCGGGTGCATTTTCACGTAACACTCGCTTCCTGA